AGAAATCATTAAAAAAATGTAATTGTTTTAAATTATAATCGCGGAAGTAAATTAAGTCTATTGCAAGTCTTTAATCTTCTGTAGTCCGAATTGAAATCATTATATTACTAAAATATCTTTATCTAGTTACCAAAATATCTTTCAATAAATATATCACACAGTTCATTTACTTAATATTTAATAGTTTATATTAAAATATAAGTCACACATTTTTAACGAAAGAAAAAAAATATAGAAACGGATGGAATAACAAAATATAATGGGAAACATATGGGTGAAAATGATGAAGTACGGAGTGATTCGTTGAAAAATTATATTTTTTTCCATTCTGGCACGAATCGTAAACACAACATAATTTATAAATTAACGTACACAATCATCATCAATCATTTACACAAATTTTCGTCAGCGTTTCATCGTTACAAAAGATATGTTTTCGTTTGGGAATTGGAGATCAAAATCTCTTCGGAGACAAGCTTTTTCTGTGCCATATAAATCGGAGAAAAGGGAGGTGAGTTTGAGATTCAAAGTATGATTTAGTCTTATTTAAGTTGAAAAATATTCGATAAATATTCGTTACAAAGATGGAAATTTTTTTTATGGAAATTGAACTCTCTCTCCCTTTTTCCGGTGATGGAGTGATGGTAAGGGATAAATGAATAAAATGAAAATAAGATAACGGAAAATTAATAGGACAAGGATAAAGAATGGAAAAGAATGGAAAGTGAGGAAAGAACAGACGAGACAGGAGAATAGAAAGCTTGACTCATGAACGGGATAACAAAATAAATAATAGAAGCATTAAACATGATTAATCACTTAACAACATAACTAGAGATAATAATAATATTAATAATAATTAATAATATTAATAATAGAAATAATAATAATCATACGAATGGCTACACTTGTATTAATAATTACAAAAACAGGTCTGGCACGGCGATCGCTTAACTGCCCGAAGACGCATCAAACGCGTTTGTTTCTTTCTCACGTCTTTTCTTACTTAAATTACTACAGACTTATTACACAAGAGATTCTGTCAGTTTAAGGCTGAATTGATGCGAGGGATAACGTCAAGTGAGAAGTCTCGATGCTCGCGTTTCGATAACCACGCCAAAGAAGAAAAAAAAATGAAACAAAAAAGAACATATTTGCGACGCGTGGAAGGCTGGATGGCACTTCAAAATTAATCACCCATCGCATATTGCGATGTAAATTTTTCCGTCTATAATCATAAAGCGTACTAAACAATTTACTTTTGTAATTAATTAATTTATAACTCGTTTCAGACGTAAGCAATTAATTAACAAAAGATACGTTTGATTTGGTCTTAGACGATACATTGTCGCACGATATGTACTTCGACTATTATCGATTAAAGAACGAGTGTCCTCCGATTTGACGATCTTCCCTCGCGCGTCGCACCGTATGATAAACACCGCTTTCCAAGCAATCGTTCGATCAAAGGGGCAAGTAAAATGGCAAGCAGAGAGCGACAATACTTTCTCCTTAATAGCTACTTACTCGTCCTCTGTGAAAACGCTTAATCGGTAGATAGGTAATTAGAAAAAACCTTGATATACAAAAATACAGAGATATATGTATCTATGCGCGTGCTACGCGTGTATCAGCGCGCGCTGATACTTTTATTTTCTTCCGACGAGGAAAAATAGGAGACACATCGGGGAAGTACATAAATATACATAAGTATAGGATAAGGATTAAGGACGAAACGATCGAGGCTGAGTAAGCTCGAGTATTATGTCGGCGCATGCTGCTCAACGAGTCACCATACAACTATTGTAAAACTATGTGGAATTGACGTTTCCGAAATGAGAGACGAATTTATTCGCAGGACCGAGCGAACAGCGAGATAAAGTTTTGTTTAATGTATTTTAACATGAGCATAGGGTTATTTATCATATTTGGTTTTGTTTTCTCTCTGATCTTCATCTAGTTATATATTTATTTCTACCATAAGGATTACGTAGGGGAAGCATTGGTAAATAATGTCATTAACGTATAATGTATATGTACTTTCTGTAGCTCTATTAGAATGACATTAGCGGATTTAATCCGCCATTCACTCGGTCTGACGATCTTATCCGTACAGAGATCATGGCTTGAGTATACTTTTAGATTGTCTTCGTCGATTCACAGCGCAAAGATATCCTGTCGGATTCGCCCTTCTTCGCTTAAGCACCACAACCAGTTTCGATTAATCGCGCCGCAACGACCGCTGTTCACTTACACTTAGCTTCTACAGGAAAACGTTAAAAAAAAAATTCAAAGAGTATCAATCGCGTCAACTTGAGCATTCGTTTATCGATAACGTAACGAACTGACGCTGATGTTATCGTCTCTTGCAGCGTTCGAAGTTACTTAATTAGCATTAATTTCGAGGTGAGAACAACTTTCAAACTAAACTTCGTGTTCACGTACTCGAAGCCTTTTGTGAAGTCACATATACTTCAAATGCATTATATAAAAAAATATTTTATCTCCCTATGAGCGTGCGGCGGCGCGAATAATTATAATCGTAATAGTTATAATAATAAAACGCAATAATATTACTCACTAATTAACGTTATTTCTATACGCTTTATTATGCTTTAACATTGTTTCTCTCTCTCTCCTCTCTCTCTCTCTCTCTCTCTCTCTCTCTCTCTCTCTCTCTCTCTCTCTCTCTCTCTCTCTCTACAGGTACGAATTTGTTTATTTCTTTTTCACATTGTTCTTATTCTTGCGATCGAGTAATTTTCAGACTCCGCGCTAACAAAATGTCCTTCACAAAATAATGATCGCGATTACATTTATAACTACCAATACATCACTGTTTTGTTTTCTTTTGACCTCTATAGGAAGCCGAATCTTAACAAGTTTTCAAGTAACAACAACTTGAGCAGGTTTCGGGCGAATCGACGAGGTTACCAATGGCGACTCGCTATTTACAGAAATAGACACATGAGAAAAATATTGGCGTTAAATCAATTCTTAATCAGAGTAATTATCTCGTTAATTGATTTGGTTCTGATTGATGTCTCGTTTTCTCTCGTGATCTCTTTTTTCGGGATTTGTCGACAAGATTATTCCTTCATCACCAATAGTTTTTCTCCGTTCCGCAAATCGCGTTTCACCGACAGATATGTTCTAAATAGTATAACTTTAAAACTGCTTATTGAGGTCTAATAAATCCTCTCTTGTTGTATCTTCGATACGATTAATTTAATACAATTCTAAATCGTATTAAATTCTGAACAATTTGCGTTCCGTTATATATTTTATATATATTTTACACGGAGAGAATTTTTTCTTAGAGTTTACTCTGAAAATATGATAGTCGTGGGACAACAATGTGTTTTCAAGAATTTTAATGTGAATCTCTCTCATTCATTAATAAAACTACAATAAAGTATAAAATAAGTTGGATTAATTTTACTGGAGTGCATGGTAAAAATCTTTAAAATATATATATATATATATTGTATTGTATCACAACTACCATATTTTCGGGGTAAATTTTAAGACAAAATTCTCTCCGTGTAACTAAAGAATTTTCATGAAAAATAAGAAAGACGAAAGTAACAATATATTAAAACTATAGATTTCGCAGACCTCGACATGCAGTTTACTGGGGTTGATTCATGTGTTAATCGCGTGTCCGAAATATTCACCTAAAATTTGGCACGTATGTTTGCGTCGCCGACGGGCTACGTTCCAGATTTCTTCACAGTTAATGTTAAAGATTAGGAAAGTCTTTCGTGAAATGATGCGCGGTATGATTCATTATTTACATGCACTATTATTGGATACGTGGACAAAATTGTGAAAACTGTGCCAACGAGACCCGGTCTCCCCTACATTTATAAGAAAAGATAATGCTCAATAAAGCTCATTCTAATTAAAAAAATTAAAAGAGTAAAAATAAATTTATTCTAAATGAATAAGAAATAGCAAATTAATATGGATGTTTCGACTTAACTAATTGTAAATTCCTAAGCATAAAATAATAATTCTAAAAACGGAAAATCGGATGATAGAAAGGTAAAATCGATGAAAGTGATTAAAATACTCGTATAAAATAAATCAAAAGAAATTGGAAAGAATAAGGGCAATAGGAATCAGGCGCAGAAGACGTCGCGCAAATAATACACCCATAAAGCGTAAAACTTCTTCTGCGCTAATTCCTATTGCCCTTATTCTTTCCAATTTCTTTTGATTTATAAGGAGTCTTTGTCAGTTTGATTTGTTATACGGATAATATATTATAATATATATTTATATATATTGTCTATTTTAAATAAATTACTAATTTATTAGTAATTTATTATTAATATACACATATAAATAGATTGCTCTCGGTCCTTCCTTGGTCGAAGTTGTAATTATGATATCGTATATCGCGATGAAAACATTAGGAAGAATGAAAGTACTCGAATTGCGGAAACAGAATCAGATGCGGAGGTCAAAGAAGTACAATAATACTGTTCGGCATTATTCGCTGTTAACGCGCGCGATCGCGTGTGACGCATGAAGGGATAATGATTTTTAGGCAATCCGCAAAAAATTGTTAAATAAAAAGTCATTTATTTTTAAATAAATAATACAATATAATACTCACGGGAGCGAAGTTCGATTTTTATCATTCAGCTCTCCATGATGCTTCCGACGTGCGAATTTAACTCTTTCGCTGAGTAGAGCATAGGGGAAATTTCAAGTTTGCAAATACAATAAAAAATCGCAAAATGTTACAATAAAGTAACACTTCGTAAACAATATTATACATTATTAATATATTTTTCAATTTATTACAATCATAAATGAAAAAAAAGAAAAAAACAATTGTTAGATTTGCACAAACATTAAAAATTTCTATTAACAAATTCTTTAAATGTATTGATATGATTATATTATAAACTTCTTGTAGGAAAAGGCTTCAATATGTGAAAGAATGAAATTAACACGTCTAGCTGCAAATTTTTTCCAAAATAGCTTTCCCAAAAATTTAAACTCGATCACAGACTCGTATTAGTATTCGTCGGGATTCTCGCAAAATCGAATTATAACAGAACAAATCTTCCCTCTCGCTAATTATCTTGTTCCATCAAGATCGTGATCTCTTCAAGTATTAATTTCTTCCTAACGCTCAGCTAATGTCATGGAGATTGTCGAGCGACGATTTCGCTCTCTCAACATGTTCCCGCAAAGTCCTGATCGATTCGCGAAGGTTCCTGAAGATCCTCGATCGATCTTAACGCGAGATCCTCGCTGGGACCTGGATCTAGAATGCAACCAGGGTCATCCGACCGATCGTTGTCATTCAGCCTTGATAACCGCTGATGGCGCCGCCACGTTCTGATCGAAAGTGGAACATTCCTCACCAGCGAGTAAACCGGGTTCGGTCTTCGGAATAGGGCCGTCCGCGCATCGATTGTGGGTTTTCAGATGCCTGGTGATCATATCCCTGCGACAGGCTGCGTAGGCACATTGCGGGCATTTATATGGCTTCTCGCCGGTATGGGTTCGTTGGTGGGTGCTGAGGTGATCGGATCTACTGAACACCTGTCGACAAACCCGGCATGTGTACGGTTTGACACCGGTGTGCAGTCTCATGTGCCTTGTCAACATGTCCGACCTCGCGAAACTCCTTTGACAGACATCGCAGAGGTACGCTTTCGCTGAGGCATCGTGGAGACCTTGTCGACGATGTCTGGATGCCATGTGCTTTGCCAGACGATCATGCAGACTGAACATCTGCCCGCACTCTGGACAGACATAAGCCACGTCCGTGCCCGGCGCCATTTCCTCAACGACGGGTAAAACCTCCAAATTGTACCGTACCGCAACGCTCTTTTTTGTCGTGGGTGATGCAACATCGCCTCTGACTACTGGCACGCTAACGGAACCTCGCGTTACGATACCGGACGGTAGCATCTGAAGAGCCGGTGACCTATTGGAGACCGCCGAAGCAGCCGCGGTAGATTGTAGCATCAGATTCTTCATGGAGAGATCCAATGGTGATTCTTGAGGACTTGTACTGTCGCTCTCGAGAGAGCCACTTCTCGGAGGATGATTGACGACAGAAGAAAAGGAAGTGGTTGCGGCCGGAACCCGCGTTTCGTCCCACCTGGACACAACATCTGAATCGGAGTGACTGCGTCCGCGGAAGATGTCGCCTGACGACGACGACAGGTACTTGGTATGCATGTACTGTTCAAATATGCTATATGTGCCGCATATACTGCTATATGTGAAGCTGGTTCGCGATAGTGGCGTCTGTAGGGAGGTCGCCGACGGCAACATCATTGCTGCCGACGCAGCCAGCGAGCACTGGTTGCACGTACAGTCAGAGTACTTGGTCGCTGACAATCGGTGGCTGTTTTGATAGGGAGAATAACGATGTCGATGGTGATGGTGATACGAGTAGCAGTATGGTCGGTGGGGATGATAGTGATACTGCTGATTGATCTCGTTGAATTCTTCCTCGGTTGACGTCACTGCTTCCGCGTCCTTTAACCTCAACGGCAGTTGGCCCATTACCGCGGTGGTATCCACAGCAGATCGCGAAGACGATGATCTGGGCGAGCCAAAAACATCTTCCTCTTCAGATACGGGACCACTGCCTTCGAACTTCAATACTTCGCCTTCGGATGGCGAACTGCGATGGGCTTGCAGCGTATCGACTACCTGTTCCAGTCGTCTTCGTTTCTTGCGGGGGTTCCGATGGTTACGGTTGGCTGTCGCCGCAAGGGTGTTATTGTTCGTACAAGAAGGTGGTGGCGGCTTGGCCGGGCCCGAGGGCGCGGCTGCGGCGTCCTCCACGGCGCTCTCGGCCATCGTCATCGAGGATGCGCGGCACCCGCCGCTTGGGCCCCTTATACCACCTACGATACCCTCGGCTATCACCGTACTACCTCCTACCTCGTCCTGAAACAATCGAACGACGGTGATGTTGTTATTCGAAGATGCTCATGTTATTTGCGCGAATTTAAATGACTTTTCTAATCCGGAGCGTATTTAAACAGTACTTAAATAACTAAAGCAATGGACAAATGAACTGACGTTTAGATTAAATCGTCACATACGTGCATTGCTTCATTATCATTTTTGATAAATTGCTCACATGGTACATTATCATGGTTGATGTAGTATATTTATTCCGTTATTCTTGCTTCGATCGAAATCTATTTTTAATTTCATGTTAGAAATAATCGAAAGTATGTGGTTCAATCTCGAGCTTCAAGATATATAATTTTAATCGAACACAAATTAATTTTCGCGAGAAATAACTTCCAATTATATGTTATTATAGGTTGACATTTGAGCGCCACTGAATTAGGTGCTATTTTGTTGGCGCAACGTTGTTGTTAACAACGTTAAACTGCTAATGATAGTAATTGACATATCGTAGCAACATTTAAATGGACGAGATTTAGATTCGCAGGCGCTAATAAACTATGACTTCATAATAATATATAATGCTATTTATGATAGCACCGCTATAAATGCAACATGGTTAATGATGATGTTTCGATAGATATAAAATTTAATCAATACATGTTTAATTTGATCATGTATTGTGAATAATATTATTGATTACAATGAATAATACGGAAATTTACGTACTTGAAAGTGTTTACACATATTTTTGCTATCGTAAGCGCAATAAGTTAACAAGAAATATTAAAAATAAAAAATTTAGTGACTATATCTGTTAAAATAGAACAGTACAAATAGGCTTTATTATATCTTTTACGATGAAAGATTTTTTCATTATATGATATGAAGTGACATATGAATATTATAAAATAAAACCCGGTTTTTTATATTCCTTCATCAGTCCTTTCAATTACGTGACTTAGGTTAAAAGCAAATAGGTTAACATCAAAAATGAAAATGCTGAATATTTATTTGAAGTATTTTTACAAAAAATATTCCAAAGAGCGATAAAAATCAACTTATATAAGCGACCGTTTACATATAAGTTATAATTTGCCGTCTTACCAATCCTACAAGAATGAGTATTGAAGCGCAAGACTAACACGTGTGAACTGCGTGAGGTTAGCCTCACAATCAGAATGACTGATAATCGAGGTAACGGAGGTTTTCTGGAGAATGGAAGAGACGGTGAAAAATCGCCAAGTCGTAACGAGACGCGATTAGAATATTCGTTTTTGTGCAATATTAACCGACCATTTGTCATTAACGCTGTGGCCGCCATTAAAAGCAGAGAGACGATCGCCTCTCGACGAGATCGCGCTCGATCACGTGCCGATTATCGCGATGCAGCCCCGTTTTCGGTCACTCCGCGACTAACGGAACTTTTTTAACGTTTTCGATAAAAGAACCTCGTCCACTTTGTAAAAATAGACGGCACATCACTTATGGATGACAAATAGCGAGCCAGTCGTTTATTAAGGAAATTAATTCGAAATAGAAGAGATCCGTCCTGGATTAATTAATTCGAATATCTATATATATATATATATTAAAAGGTTATTTCGTTTTCGAAAGTAGAGAAAATTGAGTATTTTGAGCATTTTACGAAGTGACAGGTGAATAATATAGGCCTGTTCTTTTTAGCTGAAACTTTTGCATCAGTTCATTTTTCTTCATTTTCTCTTCAGGAGGAAAGAAGAAGAAGAAAAATGAACTGGTGCAAAAGTTCAACCGAAAAGAACAGGCCTCATGATACGCTGTGTTCTCTTGGTTCAACACAAAATTTTCGATTGGGTCTTAATTCCCACGAAAGTGAGATTTTTTAAAATATTTATTTTAATCCACTAACGTATGTATACGTGTATGTGTATGGTGTGAATCACACCGTTCGTCTTGTCCGACGTGACAATGGCACTTTGTCATAAGACCGCGCGATGTAACTCGAGAGATGTATCCGCTGAATATTTGAAATTTAAATCGCGAGTATGAGCGTATAAATCAACGAACAGACAACCGATGACTGGCATTTAATATCGCAATTTTTTTTATAGCGTGGGCGAATTTTCGTTGTGCGATACTCTAAATTTAATTCCAGAAATGGCTGTTCTTATCTAGCAGCTCTTTTGTAGGTAAAAAATCAAGAAAATCCTAGAGAAGTATTGTATAAATAATTGTTTTTTTTTGCGATGCGATCATATCCTTATATCGATATTAGTTAATTATGTACGTTACATGAATTTTAGGATTTTGCGTTGTCTTAATCAATGATGTTAAGAGTTCTAAGGCATATTAAAATAATAGATCTCAAGTGAAACTAATAAAAGAAGAAATAGAATTTAAAATAAGAATTGGATTATTTTTCTGTTTTACAGATTGAATGCGTCATTGAATAGGAGAAATCGAATGATGTGTCTTTTCAAAACCAGTACATGCAATGACACTCAATGCGACGGTATCTTGGCGCCACGTGTGCGTGCATAATCTCGATTGCAGGTCTGCCTTCGGTCTCGATAGCACGTCACGGTCGTAGAATAGAGATTTTGCTCGGCTTCCTGGAAAAACGCGGTATGTCGCGTCGCGGACGCGGATGCAGAGAATTGTCCAACGGTTTTCCAGCGGCTCCAGCGTGCTGCATACCGACGCGTACGTGCGTAGTGCGCCGTTTCGAGACCGATCTTCGCGACCGGCCCCGCTTACCTCCAATGAATACCGAGAAATCCGTTCACGGAGAAACATGCGAATTCCTGGCCAGAGTCTCGTCGTGGCAGCCGGAGACGGACTCCGATAGCCGCTTAAATGACGTCGCTTAAGTGACTTAATGCGACTGAATCGCGCGATTTATTCTATAGTCCACATGCGTCCTTCAACTTTGCACCATCACCGGGGCGTCCTCGGGATTCTAGAATAAGGACTCGTTGTTGTTGTATCTTTGTTGCACAAAAAATTGCTTTATGCATTCAAAAGTTCTTATGTTATTCTCTTAAAGAGGTAAGATGGATATTAACTGGCTAATGATTATTTTTATTAGCTAGATGACAACTTTTATAGGACATGTACAGTGGCATCGCAGAAAAGAACATGCGTTCGTAACGGGAGGTTCCTCTCGAATAAAGTGTTTGGTTAGATGTCTCCTTAACATAAGTTACATTTATATGTCTATTTATAGATTGATGCTTGCGCGACTTGATTACAAAACCACATTAATCAAAAGAGAAAGAGAGAATAGATAATAAATCTAAATATCCACTTCATAGAATAGCGCTTCGATTAGAAAAGATCCGCAGTGAATCTTGTTTGACAGTGCTCGGCGCGTTTCGGTCCTTTCTTCTTTGCCACAGTGGCTATTCTTTTATTCTTCTCGGCGCCGCCACTTGTCCTACCCTTCTCCACCTTCATTCGCAGAGAGAAAGGGTCTCGATGATCGGTCGTAAAACGTAAAGGGGACTCGTAAACGAAGTGAAAAGATATCAGAACGTAAATGTCGAGAACAGGTCCCCTAAAGAGGACGGTGTGGGCGTACTTAGCCGCTACCTTCCCACCGATTTGATTTCTTCTTATTTCCCTTCGGTCAGAATCGAGAAGTACCCTGCTAGAAAATCTGCTGCAATATTTCATTACTTTCTTCATCTCCCTTACTTTTTTTTCCATTGAAATTATCCTAAGCCAACAAAATGCGCGTCAAAAATAATTTTATTTTATATTCTATGTATTTAAGAAATTTTGCCTTGGCCAAAATTTAAAAAATTTAAACAAAGCTCTCAAGTCCGAAAGTGTAACAATCAAAGATTTAAAAAATATAAGAAAATATTGACTTTGTAAGAATATACAACAAGATATAGTGGAATTCAATTTTCTTGTGAAAAGGAAGAAATAAACTGCATTCAATTTGATGTAAATAAAATATTCGTATCGATAGAGAGAATGCAGACTAGATATTGCTATCTATGATTTGATACACATGTGATGATTCGAAGATATGAGTTTGCAAGAAAACGTAGCGGAGATCATCGATGAAGAATTCCAGCAACGGGCAGGCACCTGTAACCGTGGCTCGACGGGAGAAACAGAACAGGTTGAGACGTGGGCGTGGGTGGAGCGCTTGATCTTTCTCTCCCGCACGATCTGCCCATATACTGTAGCCGCTGTACCACGGCAGTGATGGGTACGATTAGCGCACGAGCTTTCATTGTTTTTTGAAGATTAATAGATACGCACAGACATTTATATTTTCTTAATAAAAAATGTTCTTTGTTTGAAAATTTCGCTTTATGCTCTAATAGATGTAACATAAAAATAATACCTAAAAATGAATTTTATCTTAGAATTTTATAAAAAGTTTTGTGACTTAATTGTATCATTATTCCAAGCGTTTGTAGTTAAAAGCTGAATTTGATAATCACAGTTAATATAGCATCTTTTGATACAATTTGTCTAGAATTAATTTTATTTACCTAGACAGTTAAAAAATTTCATTAAACTAAATGTAATTAGGTAAATAATAAATTTAAAAAAGATATAGCAGAAGTTTATGAAAAAGAAATTTGAATAACATCATCTTCATAAAAAAAACTACATAAAAAAACAAATGTAGTTGTGTCATAAATGTGACTCGCGCCTTTCGCTATTGGCTG